TCCCGCAGCGCGGCGCGCAGCCCTGCGCCCGCCGGCTCGACGACGACGACGACGACGACGACGGCGACGACGACGAGGACGACCGCGACGACGACGACGACGACCACGACCACGACGACGACGACGACGACGACGACGACGACGACGACGACGACGACGACGACGACGACGGCGGCAACGACGACGACGACGACGACGACGGACGACGACGACGGCGGCGGCGGCGGCGGCGCGGGCGGCGGCGGCGGCGGCGGCAATGACGACGACGACGACGACGATGACGACGACGACGACGACGACGACGACGACGGCGACGACGACGACGGCGGCGGCGGCGGCGGCGACGGCGGCGATGACGACGACGACGACGACGACGACGACAAGCACGAGGACGATGACGAGGACGAGGACGACGACGAGGACGAGGACGAGGACGAGGACGAGGACGACGGCGGCGGCAGCGGCGGCGGCAACGTCGACGACGACGACGGCGACGACGTCGTTTCGGGGGATTCTGGGTGATTTGGGAGGTCACCACGGCTGGAAGCAGCTCGAGAAGCTGGCCAAAGTGACCCCGGGAGAGGTCTGGGGGGACCGATATTGAGCCGATCTGAGACGGGAGACGACGATGACCACGACCACAACCAGAATTACGAGCACGAGTTCGATCGTATCCCCCTGGGGGTACTTCGTCCTGACCTGCCGCGCGTACTTGGTGTAGCCCCTGAAACAAGGGAAGAGATGACGAATGGAAGGGGGAAGGAGATGGAGCACGGGATTAGCAGGAGGGGGGCTAGGAGCAGAAAACAAGTGGCAGAACCAGACGGGACCATCGGGCGTGAGTACTGCATGAACCGCAAGGAGAGCTCGAGCGATAGCGCGATTCCCAAGTAAATCGTGAGGAAAGCCCGAGCGGAAGCATGATTCCTGAGTGTCGAGGGCGCGGCGTTTGAATAAATGACGAGAATGTCCCAGACGAGAGCGCGATTACAACATAAATGGAGAGGACGTCCCGCGCGAAAGCGCGGTTTGGGAATGAATACTGAAAAATGTCAGGCAGGAGCCATTGTTGTTGTAGTCCGGGGCCCGACATTTCAGCCTGGTGACACAAACCAGGTGCGAGCCCCGAGGGGGGGCATCTCAAGTGAAAAAGTACAGTGGTTACTGGAGGGGAGACTGGTGTGGGAGTCCCCTGGAACCCTGGAAAGAGGAGACTGGTGTGGGAGACTGGTGTGGGAGTCCCCTGGAGGGGAGACTGGCGTGGGAGTCCCCTGGACCCACGGAAAGATTGAAAAAAAAAAAAAAAAAAAAAAAAAAGGTGTTCGACCGCTTTTCCCGCCCCGGATCCTGGGCGGGGGGAGCCGCGGCCCGCCGCTTCAAAACAAGATACTCCTCTGAAACTTCTCGTGGGGAAAAGGACCCCCCCCCAAAAAAAAACTCCTTGGGGAAAAAGATCGTTTGAAACTTCTTGGGGAAAAGGACTCCTTTGAAACTTCTTGTGGGGAAAAGGACCCCCCCAAAAAAAAAAAACTCCCTGGGGAAAAAGATCCTTTGAAACTTCTTGGGGAAAAGGACTCCCTTGAAACTTCTCTTGGGGAAAAGGACCCCCCCCAACAAAAAAAATGCGTCTGTTTCTGCAGCTTTTCGGGGGGGGCCCGGGAGCGGTCCAGGAAAACCCTTAAAATCGCAGTTCGGGCGGATTCCCCCGGAAACCCCCATTGGGGGGTGTTCGGTGACTTCTCAAAAGTTGTTACCTGTTGTTTATCGGTTACTTATATTTTTTATCCAGGTGGGGATACCCTGGGAAAAAAAGGATTAGTTTTTCGACGGTATTTCGGTGGGCTCTCAGGCCCTATCCTTAAAAACCAAATAAATCCCTGGAGAAAACCCCAACTCTGGAATTTGTCCCAGGTTTTTCCGGGGTCTCTCCGGCCAGCCCAGGCTCCAGGATTCTCCGGGATGGACCCCCCCAGAAAAATCCAACTCTAGGTTTTTTCTGTGGTTTTTCGAAGTTCTGGGGCCCCACAACTAAAACAACGCAGCAGCCGCGACCCAACGACTCCACTTGCTGTCGACCGTGCCATCGAGCTCCGCGTCGAGCCGCAGCTGCACGGCGCCGCGCCTCATGCAGCTCATCGGCGCGTCGGCGGGGGAGCGCATTCGGGACGCGCGCCACACGGCACTCGAAGTCGGCGCGGCGACCGGCGCGGAAGGCGGGCATGACGGACACGCGCGGGGCGGCGCCCGCGCCGGAAACGACCCCGACAGTGGCCCGGTGCTACAGACAATGACCTCGACAATGACCCAGCGCTACAGACAATGACCTCGACAATGACCTCGACAATGGCCCAGTGCTACAGACAATGCCCTCGACAATGACCTCGACGATGACCTCGACAACGGCCAATGGCGAAGTAGTCTAAGGCTCGCCCACCCGAGGACGAGCTGTTCGCGCGGGCGGCCCCCGACTGGAGCAGCGACCACGGCGCCCGCCTGGCTCCAGCCGCCCCGGGCCCCGCAGCCTGTCATAGCCAGCCTCGAGCTTTATCCCTGTCCCTGAGGTGGGCGAGCAAAACGCGAGGAGAAACTCAGGGCTGTGCCCCCAGAAACCGCGGGAATCCTGAAGGTCGGCATCGAGGTGAGGTGATGCCAAACACAGGGAGAGGGACATGTTTCAAACTGGTAGATGTCAGGAGACACGTCGAAGTCCTCGGACACAACGAACGGCACGTCGGCGACCTCGAGCACCGCCATCGCCGCCTCCAGGATGGCCCAGTTGCGGGGCCAGACCTGCCCACCGTCGCGCAACGAGAGCGCGACACGCAGGAAGCCTCCAGGGGCTAGCCCCGCGGCGAGCAACGCCGCGGCACGACCTTCACGCAGCGCCACCGGCACCGCGCCCACTGCGGCAAGCCCGCGCGCCAGGGGCGCCTCCTGCAGGGCGACGCCACTGGCGCACTTGCACCGCCACGCCCCAGCTCTTCTGGTCAGCCCCATGATCGAGCAACGCCTCGAGCCCGACGTGGCCGGCGACGCTGTTGGCCACGGGCTGCCACAGGTCAAAGCGACGGCTGCTGGCCAACCACCGCCGAAGATGCCGACGCCGACGGGCCGTCGCCCCTGGCCACCTGAGCGCCTGGCCCCGCGCATCATTGAAGATGTCATCGAAAAGCTCGCGCTTGGCGCAGCGCGACTGCGCGCGCTTTTGCATCTCGTAGCCGCCGTCCTCGCGCAGCCCCTGGCGCGCCTTGGCGGCGCGCTCCCGAGCGGTCTCGGCAGCGTCGGAGGGCCCGCCGCGTGGCCCACGGCTGCCGCCGGCGGAACGCGGGCGCAGGCCGCGCAGCAGCGGGGGCCGCAGGCTGAGCAGGAGAGAGACCAGCACCATCAACATCAGCAGCCTCTGGAGCAGGCGCCGCCTCCTGCAGGGCGGGGGCGAACTCGCCGAGGGCGGAAGCGACCTCGTCGAGCTCGACCTCGCCCCCGTTGCCATTCTCGAGGCCCGCCGCAGGCAGCTCCAGCTGCGCCGCGGGATCAGCAGGCCCCACGGCGGCGAAGGCGCCCGCCGCTCGGGCCGAAGCGGCTTCGGCGGCGGCCCGCGCCCCAGCGAGCTCGGCCGCGCCCTTGGCCACATGCGCCACAGCTTCGGCCGCGGCTTCCTGAGCGCGGTCGAGAGACCGCCGCGCGTGCCCCCGTCTGCCCCCCAGCAGGGCACGTGTCCACCCGAACGGCCCTCGCAGACGCCCGCGGCCCCTCCCCTGCAGCAGGCCACGCCGAGCAGCCGCACGAGCGATCTGTTTGGCAGGCCACTCTTATCGGGGATGGACAGACCCCCCTTTAGCAAAACGCGGTTTAGTGAAAACGACCTGAGGCCCAAACCTGGCGGGCGCAAGCCTGGAAAATAACGGCCATGGCGCCATCTCGAGAACCGAAAACGGACAATTCACTAATCGACGTGTCACTGTTGGGGGTTCTGTCCACCCCCGATCTTATGGAAAATTCAAAATCACCGGTCGGCATCTCGACGTAGATATGAGCCGCCTCCTCCGAAATCTGCGCGTGCACCTTGCTGGGCTCGGGCGGGCAGCTGATCCACCCCCCGAGGGCCCAGTTGCCCTGGCCCGCGCCAGGCCGCCGCCGAGCAGCACGACCACATCGGAAACAACTCGCACGGCATCCATAATTGAACAGGCATCCGGACATACGCCGACACGCCGACGGAGAGAAATTCGACACATCGCCAACACCCGCGGCCGCGAAGTAATCGTAAGAGCAGAGAGACGCGGAGAGAATCCGCCGCTCAGTTCCCAGCATGAGATGCACACCTGATGGGGCCGCTGCTTCCCCGCGCCACAAACCCAAATCCTCTGAGCCCCCCGCTACGAACTTGAGCCACATGGCTATGGAGCCTTCTCCTCATCCTCATTATCATTACCATCAGCATCGTAATCATTATCGCTCTCACCACCACAGTCACCATCAACATTATCAACCTCATTATCGCCATCATCATCGTCGTAGTCATCATCTGTTATAGCAGTGCATCGCCCACTTCTCGGGCCCGCACTGCCTGGCTGGAGTCGCTCCCCGGTCACTGGTGGCCGTCACACCCGCGCGGCGGGGACGCAACAGGGTGCGTCGGACCATCGGGCAACCGCTGCGGCTTCACCGCGCGGTTGCGGCTTCCTGCCAGAGCCCAACAATGCGCCGGTTCCCCTGTTCTCCCACATTCCTGTAATGCGGTAGAGGGACACAATTACTGAACACCCCCACTCCCTCCAAAACTCAAAGTTGGCACGCGCGGGGGAGACTGCGGTCAAGGCGCGGCTCATCAGACCCACCGCCAACTTTGAACAGTGCGGGGAAGGGGAGGCGTTGACAGATGAATGCGGCATGAGTCTTGGCTACTTTTCCGAGGCCTGGACGCCACCGATAACCACCAGCTTCCACCTGGATGTCCCAGCAGCAGCGCGCCACGGCCAAGGTGCTGTTCAACTATCGTT